GATTAGAGGTACTTCGCATTTAAAGGGAATTCATAAACGTTTGCTAAAAATTATTAATTCAGTTACGTTTCTTAAAGAGACCAGAGAGGGAGCAGAAGGGCCTCGGATATCAGACGTAGGAGGGTCTCAAACTTTCATCTTTCACACGAGAAAGATGGTTTAAATTGAAGTATATTTTGACATTTTGTTTTCTTTTCTCTTTCTAGTTTTCGGAGTATAGTTGGCCCAGTTATTAGGGTTTGAGGAGAGATGGGGTACACCGATGGCACGTTATAGATTCGTGAGGCCCGGGCAAATTTGAATTATGAGGTCCCGTGTACAATGTCGATTCAGACATTTTTCTTTGAGAGAATTTTTGAAGGAATTCCCCTGTATCCTTGTTTGTTTTTTTTACCGGTAGTCTAGGGCCCCCGATATTGAGCCATATTTAAATTTCGATATTCTTACTACAGTAATAAGTTTATAAAAGATTGGTTTGGGGCCCTAGTTGGTGGGAACCCCAGGCAATTTCCCATAGGATAACTCTCTATTGGGGCATCCTCTAACTTCTTTCACGCCCTAGAAATGACTTAGAATATCGAAAACACGCATTAAATACCAAATTATGAAAAGAATATTGTTCAAAACAAATTTTAAATGACGCATATGTAAAATATTTGAATTTTCCCTTAAAATAGAAGTGATATTTAACGAATTGAAATAGTAGTTAAATGCCAATGACCTTATTCGATTTTCAAAAATAATTCTTACGCCATAATAATTAGATTAAAGGAAAAAAAAATATGCAGAAAAACACATAAATTAATGTATTTTTTAATGTTTTAAAAGTCAATTTTAATTAATATATTTTCAGTATAAATATAAATTAACGCAGTCAAAGTTTCTCGACCTTTTCCAATCTCAATCTCGTTGTTACAGGAATAAGGCTCGCGATCTACCGGTTGAAAAACATTATCTACTAATTTATTTATTTTTATTCCTTTATAATAAATATAATAATTTATATTTCCACTATATGGATTAATATTAGTGTATATATAATAAATATTATCAAATATTATCTTACAATATGTTTCTGAAATAAATATAAACGTTTCTTAAACGTTTTATTTCTCAACCTCGTTATTCTTAGAATCGACTAATTTGAACACTTAATTAATATAACTTATAGTTTAATATTTATATATTTTTATAACGCTTATAATAGTTTATTATATATAGCTTAATATTACAAAAAATTTAAACGAATTACTATATATAATTTTATAATATATAAGTAAGTATAAATATTCCTCAACCTTCTTCAGTTATCAATCTCGTTACTCCTCGAATAGTTCTCGCGATCTACCGGTTGGTAAACTAAGTTTTGTACTTATATGAATGTTATATATAATTACGTATTTACTAATAATGAAATATGTATTTGTATGTTATACGCATTATAAAAGATTAGCAATTGCGAAAATATATAAATGGTATTAATTTATTAATAATTGGTTTAAGTGAAAGTAAAAATATTTTCACTTGAAATTATACTTAATTGGAATTATTCATTTTAGTTTTTTAATTATGTCAAGGATTATGAATTACTGTAATTTTTTTGTTTACTGAAATACATTTATTCGACATTTTAAATTATAAGTAGGAGCATTAATAAATCCTTGAAAAGACTATGCATGAAGGCAGGGATATGGAGAGCTTGTATGGGGCCCGCGGGTAAAACGGGCCCATACAAGCTCTCGACACTCGGGTAAAGAGGGCCCATGCAAGACAATTGCTACCGTTACCTTTAAGTCTTCGGATTAACATAAAATTACTATTACGAATGGATAAAACCACCGAACGTTGGTAGTTAGTAGTGGGTTCGTGCCTCGCCTCGTGGAATTTTCCGGATTTTCTTCACTTTTTTAACGTCTAAATAGAGGCCAGTTCCCATAAAAAGTCCTCCCGGAAAGCATCCCCTTTCGATTTCTTTCTGCCTGTTTAATTTCTCGAAGNATTATAATAGTCAGGAAGTTAGAAATCATCGCTCGAAACGAGTTTAATTTTCCAAATGATATCTTTTAATTATCGTTTCTCAGAAAGAGAAACCATTAACCGGTGACAGTATTTATTTATTATGAAAATTTTATAGTCACATTAAAAATTTCTCAGAACTATAAAAGAAAATATAAGAAATTTACATTTAAAAATAGTTTTTTCGTACAGTAAGACCACCTATAAGTGATCCAGTGAATAAAATAATGAACACTGATAGTCGGTCACGGGTTCGCACCTCAACAACAGGATGCCAAGTGCAGTTTTCCGGATTTTCTTCACCTTTTTAATTAACACCTAAATGGGGCCAGTTTCCTCCCTTCAGGACTTTTAGGGGGAAGTGTTTTAGGTGTTACAAAGGTAAAGTAAACCCGGAAAACTCCATGAACCCGCGACAACCTACCACTGTTTAGTGGTTTTATTCTCTTTTGGGTGCAAAGTTCTTCAGAGCCTACATAGTTACGACGCTTAATCAAGACCGAATTTAGATATAAACTAAACAGACAACAGCTTAGGCCTCAGGCCTTTAAATTTATTGTTATTTCGTGGAGGTGAAGAACAACTTTATATTATAGCTTAGAGTCGCGACATTTATAAATCAGGTCCTGGTGGTACCATGAGTTAGTTATAGTTCGTTTCAACCTATCATTTCCTCAGAAGACAGGATTTTCAGGGAGGGAAAAAAATATATATATACGGAATCTCTAACTACCCTAAAAAACATGAAGTCTTCCAAGTTATGTACAGTATTAATTGCTTCAGTATAACGACCATTAAAATAAATTTACTCTTACAAAATATCATTTTATTGTAATTATTTTGCCGGGAAAGTTATGTAACTAGTTGCTGAATTTTTTAATGCTTAAAATACGAATTAAACAGGTTAATTAAAACATTTAAAATATAATTTTTGTCTGTCCGTAACGCCTTACATCAATTTTAAATCGGTAAAGTTGGTTTATACTAATCATTGAGGCGGAGTTAGCTTGTTATTGTTCTCTTTGTTTTGTTCTATTGTTATAAATTTATTTATTTTTTTAAAAATTTGTTTGGGGTTTTATTTCCTATTGTGATTACAGCTATTATTCTAGTTCTTGGTCTCTTTATTTTTATTTCTTTGTTTTCCTTAATGCTTTTCGATTGCTTTAAACAGGAGTCATATGTTTGATGTTTGTTTGCTCAGTATTATTCTTTTAGGGCCTCTCGGAAGTTGAAAAAGGCCTGGGCCTCTTATCTTTTGAGGCTTTCGGTATATTAATTTAAAAATGCTTTTAAAATCATACAGTAAAAACCTGTGTAAACCGGAATCGCACGGTAGTGTGAACCGCAGGGGGAGGTCGGGGTCAGTCGCACCTCCCTGTACGGACAACAGGTCGTTAAACAGGGGGTAAGAAATGTCTTTTATAGCTTTTTGCGGGGAAATTTCATCACCTGATCGGATATTCATGAGCTAAAGGTTATAGGTGTTCCAGGGACCTAAAACAAATAACGAAATTCGGATGCTAACTATAAACTTTTATGCAAGTCGAGCTGCAAGTTATGCGAGAACAATGGAATGTTGATAGTTATAACAGGAAGGTTTACACATTTCCGGCTAAGATCGGTTTTTTCTTCCAATTCGTTCTTCCATAAACGAAAGTGAACTAATTACAATTTTTGTTAATAAATTCCGGATCTCACAGTAGATTTTATTGTAAATATCTGTACGATAATAATATATTACAGTGTTCGAGGAATTCCAGTTATTATTATTAATAAGATTGCAAGTATTCGTCATGAATGTCTGTCAGTTTAGCCGGCGCTTTACTGTTGTTTCGAGGGATTGAACGAGCGAAAAGCGACATTTAATCCGTTATTTAATTTAAAAAAAAAAAGAATTTACGAGATAGTTTACGAGGAAATTATTCAAATTTCAAACGATTTTATCAAAGAAATATATCACTATGCAAGCTTTGACGGTCGATGCTTTACGTGCATTGTACAATGTACGAATACGAGGAAATTATTTAAAAATTATCGAAATGTAATGCCGTTTTTTTTCCTAATTTAGTTCACAGAAGATTGTACGAAAAAAAAAATTGTATTTTTTTCTAACAGTTTTATGTTCCAACGTGAATTTCTTACGTATCTTTAACCATAACGGTCAACCAACTGTAAATTAAGGAAAACGATTGAAATTTGTGATTTTGTATAATACATAACTCGAAAAATACGCCATACATAAATATTTTATCGATAAATTTATGAGATATAATTATTACTGGATGCGATCTGCCTTCATTTTCCTGTTTACTTTATATTCGGAATCAATGAACGGACCAGTATTTAATACAGTAAAACCTGTGTAAAGCGGAATCGCACGATACCGAATATATATAGGCCTATATATTTTTTCCTGTTTGGCAGGCTTCCGTTTTGAACAGGTTCTTTTTAATATGAAGATTTTCCGTATTAAAAAATGGAAAAGGAAGAAATTTTCTCCGTTATGAAAAAAATCCTTTCGTTTAGGCAGGTTTCGTTTTATTTGTGTTTCGTTTTAGACGGGTTTTACTGCATTTTTATACTTTTCAGAGAGGGATGATCGGTGGCACGTTATAGGCAAATTTCAATTAGGGGGTTCCACGTATAGTGTTGACTGTAGGTGTTTTTCTTCGGGGAATTTTTTGGAGGGGGAGGAATACTTTCTTATAAAAGATTGGTTTGGTGAGAAACACCAGGCAGTTGCCCTATATGCCCATAGGATAGCACGGCACTGAAGATGATACCACATACGCTTTCAGCTAATTTCTTTAGGGGATTACACATTTTATATTGGTTAGAATGGATGATAGACTGTGAATAGTCATAACATGGTGCCACACTGTTGTATTTTATCCCCTAAGAAATTTATAAATAATTCTTTAGCGTGAAATTATAGCCATGTGTTATTATAGTCGTGTATTAGTAATAAAAACACTAATATATTATCTAAAAATTACGAATTTTATTTTAAAAGTTTATATCCAAATAACGGATTTAATAATGTATCATAACGGAAATGTATTTCGTGTATAAGCGAAGATATTAAATAAACCTGAAAACAATGTTAAAATTCAGTAAATTGTTCAATTTTTAAATAATTAAACGTTATAATTTATAATACTTACGTTATAATTTAATCCTTCCACGGAAGGAAGTTTAATTTAGGAATTTGAGTACAAGGTACCGGTATGCTACTGCAATAAACAGAGCAATAATGGCAAATAAGTTCTTAATTATAATTAATTAATTGTAATTAATTATACTTACTCTGTATTTAGCATATCAATATTCATACGTTTGACTTTAGTTACTGCACAAACAATGGTAGACATTGATACACTTCTAATAGCTCCTCTCTGCTCTGGAAAATTGTTTAAAAAGATTCTAGAAAGAATTATAAATTATACGGTAAAACCTGTCCAAAACGGAACCTGCTTAAACGGGAAAAATTCTTCCACACGGAACGATTTTTTTTACGTTAAAAAAAAAAAGAAAAACCTGTTCAAAACGGAAGACTTCTAAACCGTTAACTTATTCGGTATTGTACGATTCCGGCTTACACAGGTTTTACCGTAGAATGAATTTTTATTCGGTGATGTAATAAATTTCTTTATTTTTACAAGTTTTTTTCTTTACCTTTTGTGAAAGATCCAGTCTCGCCTAGGTGAGTATGGAAGTATCTATCACCAAATTTCAGATTAAAGTATTGTTTTGCTATAATGAATGCACTTACAGGGCCAACTATAGCATCGTCTTCGGGAATTTCGCACAAAATACCAGCAAATAAGTCTATGTCTTCAACGTGCCTTTAAGAAATAACATAATTTATTAACGTTAATAGGTCCTAGATTTATTTTAAATGAATTCTTCTTAAATTTTCAATAGGATACGAAGCATGGCCTAAAAGATACCTACCAAATTTAATACTTATTCGTTATGTAAATTTTGCTTAGGTATCATTCAAGTAAGCATTTGGAGTCATTTGTATTGAAATACGTTCAATCTGGATCTTTCTAAATATTGTTATTAAGTTTGAAGTCAAACTTTAAAGAATATTTGTCGGAATGGCGAAGATTTCACACTCATCAGACAACTCTCTGGGTTGGTTTGGTTTGGACGATCTGTCGAGAGGGATGCCTTCTAGGAGTTATGGTTTGGGAAATCTAGTGAGGGGATACCTCCTGAGAGGCCTTTCTATGGGAAATTGGTCCCTATTTACGTGTTACAGACGAGAAGAAAACCCATAATCCACGTGGCAAAGGAGAACCCACGACCAACCAATTATTTTATCCACTCGGCCATTGGTTGGCGGATTAATTTGGTATACTGTATCTTTGAGGTATATCTGTGAAAACTATTTGGATCTGGAGAATATATAGACTAATTTTCCCCCATGATATAAAGATCATTGACGTCAAAAGAAGAACACGTGGAACTCACTGTACTTGCTTCGAATGCCGATTTGAATGATGTACAGTACGGGTAAGATTTGTATGCCTCGTATAAATTATTAAGTTTTTTAGATACCTTTTGGGCCACACAGAGTGTATCAACAAGAGAAATCTTGTAAATTTACCTGTACAACGATTTAAATTTCTTTTTACACGTTTGTTTCATTGGTAAGTCTTCAAAGGATGTTATTTTGCCACCAAAGATATACTCGAAAAACGCTACAAAACCAGGTTGGCCATGCTCTCTTCCCCTTTGTATATTAATAGTAGAAAGGTCGAGTGCAGTTACGTGACGTTTGTAGAGATTTTTTCTGACAACCTTCTCTAAGCACCTATCGAATTCCTCCTGATTTTGAACCACGCTTCCTCGGATAATATCTTCTAAGAGCCCATTGTAGATTGGCCTAGGATCAAAATAAACGTCTGCGACATTCAGAGCCGCTAAGGATCCATTTTCGGACAGTAATAGGTATTCGTCTGGGATCGTGCTGTGAGCAAATCTAAATATGGTAGTTGGGAAGACGTTAAACAGTGCAATTGGTAAAGTTCTGTCGTACTTAGTTTCGTCTTCGCATAGACCGTGTTCTTCTGCTAGTCGGGAACCTACAACTTTTGGCAAGTAATGACAGTAGGATATGTGTTGGAAGATGGCTCCGACGATCCTTCTAAAATATTTTTTTAAATATTTAAAATTATTTTTAAAAATAATTAATTATTTGATAAATAGATTAAAATTAATAATGGGGCTTGCATTTTTAATATTATTTTCGTAATTAACTGTAGCGATTTTAGGCATGGATAACAGACTTTTGTGTAGGATGTACACGGACAAGAAATCGATCGCGATCCACTGGTGTATCGTCAGAGAATTTTGGAGTGATCGGTCCAAAATTCTGGGAATTTTTCCTGGATTTTCCCTGGATGTCTTAAAATTCTGAGGATTTTCCCTAGGTTTACCCCAATATGCTGAAAAATTCCCCTGAATTTATCCCAAACTTCCTTGATTTACCCCAAAATTCTCAAAATTTTTTCTGGATGTGTTAAAATTTTAGGGATTTTCCCTAGGTTTACCCATTATTCTGTGAATTTCCCCTGAATTTACCCCAAAGTTTGAAGATTTTTCCCTTAATTTACCCCAAAATTCTAAGGATTTACCTAAAAATCCTAACTACATTTTTGGGTAAATTTACATGATTTCACATTTGGTAAAATAATATTTTATATTTACTGTTTCTTGTATTTTAATACTTTATACCGATAAATACATCACAGTAAAGCTTGTGTAAACCGGACTCACGCGGTACGAATATTTTTTCCTAGTTTGCAGGCTTTTGAATAGGATTTTTTTAAACATAAAAAAACACTCGTTCTAAAGAATTTTTTCCGCTTAATCAGGTTTTCGTTTTGGACAGGTTTTATTAGAAATTATTACCAAAGCAGCCGTTTTTTTTATTCGTTGGGTAACCGCGTGACTTGGAATATACTATAGATAGCCCTTATCTTACAAAAGTCTACCCATCCCCGGTGTAGGGTGTCATGGTTTTAAGGGCCTAGAATAGGCACAAATGTAGGGGTTTTTTTAAAACTCTTTCCATCCTGTAAGTACAAAGAGGGCCTCGTTTTTGCAAGTCCATTGTAGGTTCGGCCATGCCCACATAGCGAGGAACTGGAGCATATACATCCATGAAATTCATGGGGTTTTTCGATTCGCAGGTACCGTACAAGCTTGCGTAGGTCCTAGAATGACCTAAAATCGCTACTGCTTATTAATTAATATAAATTATATTGGCATTAATTTGAAGAATAATTTTTACCAATTTTAATAAATTACCTGGCTTCTTGATAAATTGTTTCTCCATCCCAATTTGGATTTAATGCGTGAAGATTATCCGCTACATAGTTATGGAATCTCAAAAATATTGTATGTATAGACAACAGTAGAGGATGTTGATTACTTCGGATATCACCTGTTTATTAAATGTCATCAAATATTTAATAATTACAAGTGTCATTGCATCTGTCAACTTTAAAAAAAAGAGCACAGTTAAACAGTTGTGTGCTGTTACAACAATGCAACAATTTCATAAATATAAAATATTGGAATTAATATAGCTTATATAATGGTATATAAACATCAGCATAATACAGGATGACCTAAAAGTCAGTTAACAGTCTTTTTTAATGTGCGCTTCAAGTACAAGTATCTTACCTAATTTCACGAAGTGTTCCAAAAATCACCACCAAGACCGTTTTGAGAACAAACAAAGCACGTCTCCATCCGCATGGTGCAGTTAGCATGTGTAATTGTCCAGTTTGGGCTAGAGAAAACCCTCATATCCTGGAAATTCCTTTAAATTCCCCAAAAGTAAGTTTGGTGAAGATTTTTTCATTGTTCATTATTGGACCTTTTTGGTTTGAGGAGCTCTCGCGGATGCCATTACACCCGTTACCGGGCAGCGATATGTATTATTGACACCACACGTAAAAACTTCGTTAAAACAGGTGCTTAGAAATAATTTTTCCTATGATTTTAGGGGAGACATTGGGCGCGAAGGTAACATTCTGAGATTTCAGTTGGTAGAAGGCAATGGAGGTCGACATATTAAACATGTTTTGGGGTGGCTAACAAATTCCCAATGTACTACATTGTAACCTCTGTATCTATCCTAGCTGGCTGGCGCCCATGTTGCGAGTCTTTTGCATTTATTTTTTACTTTTTTAACTTTATATCCCTGTAATTATTCATAGTATTTTAATAAAAAGGTTTGTATCTGAAATAAAATTGTAAATTATCCCCATGTGTGACTTGTGGAACTAATCCTACCCCTGTAAATTTTCTTCTCGTGGCCTAGTTATAGTCTTTAAAATAGTTAACTGACTTTCGGACCACCTGTATATTTAAAGAATTGTTCTCGATAAACCTGTCATAGGGCACACATATCCTTCCTCTTTCAGGGTGCACATATCGTTGGTGATATCTCTATTAGGAGGAGGAACATCCCCAACGCTTTCTATAGTTGTAACTCTCAGTTTCCCTAATAGAAATGACGTATATTTTTAAAAAAATACAGTTTAAAAATTTGAAATAATTATTAAAATTATGTAACCATCTCCGCTGTTGGTCCTAAGAAATGTGACGTCTTCTTCTACTGCACCGTAGACTTGAGAGCAATCGATCACTGTAGTTTTCGCATTTAGGTGTTCTCTTACTGTATATAATAATTCGATTACACGCAAAATAATAGTGTAATTATTAATAAAATTACTATAAAAATTAGTAAAACTTTAATGCTGTTAGGAAATATAATTTCAAGTAATTAAATTCAGCAGGATTATACCGACCAGTAGAGCATGGATCGCAGGGTCTGTCTCGTGGAAAATTCATGCACGTGACATTAGGAAATTCGGGATCACTGGGTCCAAACGGTACCGGTAAACATTGAGGATGCTTCATACTTTCGGCAAGGCAGCAATTAAAAGGAGCATTATGGGCTGTTTAATTAACATTACAAAATCACAATCGAGTAGTCTACACGTTAACAATTAAAGTGTATTTTTTTTTTTTTTTTTAAACACGAATTACCTAGACTAGTTTGCTTTGTAAGAACGCTATCGTGATCTAAAAATTGTCCAAACACCATCAAAAAATTAGAATTGGGCCTTCCGGGCATGCAAATTTCTTCATTCAAAACTTGCGTTACCGTTCTAGGTTCCGGTAGAGGCAGGTTATCAACACTTCTACGAGGAGCATTAACTCCTGGTGTTCACAGATGATAAAACAGATTAACGATGATATAAATAATAATAATAATAATAATCATCATCATCATCATCATGAAGAGAAGCTACTTACCATCGGCATAAACAGGTGGCAGGAACCTAATATGGCAGGAGAAGCTTCTCCCTTCGTTCGGTCTTTGTAAATTGTTACAATTGCCATCTATGGTCCTGTATTTACTATTTACACACCGAGTAGGCCTGTTGTTAGGACAGTGATTTTCTATCCCCTTCACTAATTCGCTCTTCGTGAACAATTGAGATAATAGGGGAACTTCGTGTTTCTTTAAATTAAATCTAGGCAAAGTAAAGAAACTTGTATAGGATTTTATAAGGAAGTTTAACGAATTAAATGATACAAAAACCTACTTGTTTACTAATTCTATAGCAGCGTATTCCAGTAAGTATAATAAGTCACCTTCGGGGCATGATTCAATGGAACAACTACTTACTTGGTGTCTGCCAATAGTCGAAGGGACAAATGGATTGATGTATTTTCCTGTTCGGTAAACAAAAAGATAATTTTATAAGGGGAGAAAAAAGCTGTTATATAATAGTGTATATGTACGGCTGAACCTGTAATAACGGACACCTCTAAACAGCTACATTTTAAAGAAATGTGCATATAAGATAACCTCAGAACAGCGGTCATTTCTTGTGTTTTCGTCAGTGACCGTCGTTCACAGGTTTGGCTAAAGTAAGTAATTAAAAACAAGCACCTTTTTTTTAAATAAGAAAATGTTAATAACATAATTATCACTGCAATTTTTAATCATATTTTAATTTTAAAAAATCACGTGACTTCCGGTCCAAGCCGAAATTTCGTCACAGAATCTCGGTTTTCATCTATGTACTGTAATTACAGAACAGACCGACAGACAGACGAACGAATTTCAAAAACTTAATTTATATATATACAACTTCCTAATAAAGGTAATTTTCCCGAAGTCTAATTACAATATATTTTTTTGTTATTTAAATATGAAATTATAAATATAATAATTCTATTCATAGAACACACAAAAAAACACACACACAACATAACAATTAATTTATACACTTATGAATTAATTAATATAAAAACTCAATTAAATTAAAATTTAATTAAATAAATAGGGTATAAATATAAAACATTAAGCTTAAAGCAATTTAAATATGCATTAAGTCTGTAGGAAATGACATAATTTTAATCTAGTATAGATCTAATTCTAAATATAAATGCGTTTATTTATATTTATATAAATTTAAATTTAATAATATTAAAAAAAAAAAAAACTTACTTTTAGTAATAAGTTGACTTTCGATTTCTTTCTGCCTGTTTAATTTCTCGAAGGCTTTGATCAGTGCATTGTCTACATCATCTTTTCCTATGGAGGAAAGACCTCTACGCTCCGCCCAAGCTCCCAATATATAAGTAATAACGATAATATAACTGAAAGGATTGTTTATTATATTTAAATTACACGTAAAATTACACACGTTAAAGATGGTTTGATATTATTTTCAAAACATTGCTTACCTTACTCTCATTGTTCTGGTTTTCTAACTGTGTGTGTGTGTGTGTACCTTTATGTAATCTTTTATGGTTAATATAAGTTGTTTAGAAATTGTGTCAAGAGATATTATTGGTGGATTGTGTAAGAGAGAAGTTACCGGATTGGACTGATTCTAATTTATGTACTAAACAAGTTCGTATAGGAGTTTTAACACGTGTTTAATTATGTAATACGTGAAAAACTGTGCAGTAAATAGGGGGCAAAAGAATTTAAATGTAGGTTTATTAAGGAGAATACAGATATTTCTTTATTTAATAAGAAGTTAGGCTATCTCTATGGGGGATCGGGGTTCGAATTCGGACGTGCGCCATCACCCAGGAAGCTTTCGGTCTCGGATATATGGTAGAACCCACGATAGGTTTTGTTTTTTCTATAGATAAAAGTAAACGCTATCATAGAGGGGTTTCAGGAAGGACCTAATACAAGAGGCCTGATTAGAGGTACTTCGCATTTAAAGGGAATTCATAAACGTTTGCTAAAAATTATTAATTCAGTTACGTTTCTTAAAGAGACCAGAGAGGGAGCAGAAGGGCCTCGGATATCAGACGTAGGAGGGTCTCAAACTTTCATCTTTCACACGAGAAAGATGGTTTAAATTGAAGTATATTTTGACATTTTGTTTTCTTTTCTCTTTCTAGTTTTCGGAGTATAGTTGGCCCAGTTATTAGGGTTTGAGGAGAGATGGGGTACACCGATGGCACGTTATAGATTCGTGAGGCCCGGGCAAATTTGAATTATGAGGTCCCGTGTACAATGTCGATTCAGACATTTTTCTTTGAGAGAATTTTTGAAGGAATTCCCCTGTATCCTTGTTTGTTTTTTTTACCGGTAGTCTAGGGCCCCCGATATTGAGCCATATTTAAATTTCGATATTCTTACTACAGTAATAAGTTTATAAAAGATTGGTTTGGGGCCCTAGTTGGTGGGAACCCCAGGCAATTTCCCATAGGATAACTCTCTATTGGGGCATCCTCTAACTTCTTTCACGCCCTAGAAATGACTTAGAATATCGAAAACACGCATTAAATACCAAATTATGAAAAGAATATTGTTCAAAACAAATTTTAAATGACGCATATGTAAAATATTTGAATTTTCCCTTAAAATAGAAGTGATATTTAACGAATTGAAATAGTAGTTAAATGCCAATGACCTTATTCGATTTTCAAAAATAATTCTTACGCCATAATAATTAGATTAAAGGAAAAAAAAATATGCAGAAAAACACATAAATTAATGTATTTTTTAATGTTTTAAAAGTCAATTTTAATTAATATATTTTCAGTATAAATATAAATTAACGCAGTCAAAGTTTCTCGACCTTTTCCAATCTCAATCTCGTTGTTACAGGAATAAGGCTCGCGATCTACCGGTTGAAAAACATTATCTACTAATTTATTTATTTTTATTCCTTTATAATAAATATAATAATTTATATTTCCACTATATGGATTAATATTAGTGTATATATAATAAATATTATCAAATATTATCTTACAATATGTTTCTGAAATAAATATAAACGTTTCTTAAACGTTTTATTTCTCAACCTCGTTATTCTTAGAATCGACTAATTTGAACACTTAATTAATATAACTTATAGTTTAATATTTATATATTTTTATAACGCTTATAATAGTTTATTATATATAGCTTAATATTACAAAAAATTTAAACGAATTACTATATATAATTTTATAATATATAAGTAAGTATAAATATTCCTCAACCTTCTTCAGTTATCAATCTCGTTACTCCTCGAATAGTTCTCGCGATCTACCGGTTGGTAAACTAAGTTTTGTACTTATATGAATGTTATATATAATTACGTATTTACTAATAATGAAATATGTATTTGTATGTTATACGCATTATAAAAGATTAGCAATTGCGAAAATATATAAATGGTATTAATTTATTAATAATTGGTTTAAGTGAAAGTAAAAATATTTTCACTTGAAATTATACTTAATTGGAATTATTCATTTTAGTTTTTTAATTATGTCAAGGATTATGAATTACTGTAATTTTTTTGTTTACTGAAATACATTTATTCGACATTTTAAATTATAAGTAGGAGCATTAATAAATCCTTGAAAAGACTATGCATGAAGGCAGGGATATGGAGAGCTTGTATGGGGCCCGCGGGTAAAACGGGCCCATACAAGCTCTCGACACTCGGGTAAAGAGGGCCCATGCAAGACAATTGCTACCGTTACCTTTAAGTCTTCGGATTAACATAAAATTACTATTACGAATGGATAAAACCACCGAACGTTGGTAGTTAGTAGTGGGTTCGTGCCTCGCCTCGTGGAATTTTCCGGATTTTCTTCACTTTTTTAACGTCTAAATAGGGGCCAGTTCCCATAAAAAGTCCTCCCGGAAAGCATCCCCCCTCGGCAGATGACCCATGTGTCCGATTTTGACGTCTAAATAGGGTCCAGTTCCCATAAAAAGTCCTCCCGGAAAGCATCCCCCCTCGGCAGATGACCCATGTGTCGCGTTGTCATAACCAAATAAACCTGAACCAAACCTCCAATGAAGGTCATGTAACTATTTTAAAATATTAGCCACCCTCCACCTCTTCGACATATAAAGATCTTTCGGTCTAATTTCGACGAAAATTATTTTCGATAATACAAAAAAATTATAACACAAAGTTACGTCAATTTAACGTCATTTCACGCCTCCTCGTTATAAAAAAAAGGAGCACAAGAATGACGTAAGAGCACTCTTCAAAATGAATGAGTACATGAATAAATCAGTTTATTTTTAAACATGTTCAAAGTGAAATTCATTATTCTCAACCACGGATTGACAAACGGACGAATAGAGGTGTTGGTTGCAAAGTTTCTGAAAATTTTCACAGATCCGACTCATGGTTCTGCCGAAATAGGCATACTTCATCCTTGATGAGTCTTTATGTGGTATAACTCCATGATAGCATGGAGTTAAATTTGCTGATGGATATGACCATTCAGTTATTGTCCCAAGAAATTAGGACTGCGTATCCATAAAATAGTGGATATATTTTACCAGATAGCATATTTTATACGAGAAGCCAAAGGCGAGCTGCTTTCAAGAAGGATTTTCTAAGTGAATCTGGCCTTTATTTAGACGTTATATACGTGAAAAAAACTTGGAAATTCCCACGAGGATTGGTGAGGCTCGAGCCCGCGGCCAACTACTAGTGTGTTCAGTGGTTTTATCCAGTCGGCCTCTGTTGGACAGCGAAGAAAGAATTATGCAATAACACAAAATTTTTAAAATAAACATTACACGTATATTAACTCTTTTTTTCGTTTAGCTAGCCCATTATGGTTTCGGCCATGCCCACAATGGAGCGGCCGGCTTGTGACGGATGGGACCCGATACATCTGAACAGATCCACCTCCTGAAAACTTTCTGGGGTTTCTGACCCATCCGGATTCGATTACGAGTCTTCAGAGCGTTAAAAATTTTAACCTGTTAAGTATAGCGGAATGGTCGAGCAGATCTTCTTCAGCAGATCAGCAGTAAAGTTCATGGAAATTGGATTGGATTAATGAGATAAGACAACGCAACGCGTTGCATTGTCTTATCTCATCAATCCAATCCAATTTCCATGACTTTTTCATGGATGATCTAAACCGGATAAGTCGGGTCCCATCTCTCACCACTCGGTTGGCCCATTGTGGCCTGGCCGATCCCGTAATGGGCTTTTCAAAGAGGTCCTCTTGCTGCTCACGGAGGAAAGAGTAAATAAATAAATAAATATAATTTCAATCGTTTTAGTATCAATTGGCAAAACAGATTAGCTCCAACGGTGGTATTTTGGCAATGATATGAAGCGAGTTCTTTGACGTCGAACTTTTCGGAGGTGATTGCCTGCGCTGTTGGCATTCTTTCTTCTTTGGTCCTTTGTTGTTGTTTACGTATATTAGTGCCTGCTGGCGTACTTTTTTGTGTTAATTAATGTCGTACTTCAGTTAAACTCGAAAGTTCTGAGAACTCTGTAACGTTTTCTCTTCAAGACAGAGGACGATAACCTCAATATAAACAGTGAAGAAGAAAACCATGAACGGTACTGTAATATTAGCGCAGGAAAACACGTTTTGGCAAACACTAGAGAGGTCTTACGAACAGGTTCGACAATTGCTGAAATTATCATTTCGTTGCATCAATTAAGATTATTCTGTAGATAATAAATGATATACGAAAAATGTAATGAAAATTCATGTGACATTTGTGACTATTCGTGTCTTATGTAAAAAAATAAAATAATGATGATAGAATAAGCACTGTACAGTTAGGCAACGTATAATGTGTAGTTCCAATGTTACAGTGCCACTTACACTGAAATAAAATAAAATAAAAATGAAAATGAGGGAAAATGAGGAAAAAGAGAAAATAATCCGATAAAAAATTTGATACTGAATCAACTTGTTCTCGATGCTTGGAGTTTTTACACGATATTGCACTATTGTTTGAGACCAGAAACCTGGCTTCGGATGAGATAGCTTGCAAATTGGGTTAAAAATAAATAGCAAAACGCCAAAATGTCATGCAAGTTGAACAGCTTAGACATGACCCTTAGTTTACTTATCTAAGTACAGGGAGGGAAAGAAAGTCACTTGACATCCTTGCTACAGAATATAGAATGTACAGTACCTAAAGTTAATTCGCTCGTTTCAAGACATTCGTGCAAATAATATTCCATGTATCGGGATTTAAGGGAGCGCTATTGATGATCGATTTCGGGTTTTGAACAGTAAGTAGTGTATTTGTCTTGAGTTTGTTTTAATTGTACGTCCAGAAATTCCGAGGAGAGAACCATCTTTGTTGGAATTTCACTACCGAAGCATTATTTGCAGATTCTTGTGTAATCACACAATAAGAATCTGCAATTGGTGAGCTTTTGTTATCCTTTCATACCAAATTCTGATGTACGAAACACCTTTGTATATTCATCTAAAAGTATTTATAATAGAATCTATTAAATGTCTCGAATTCGATTAGTTTTTTTTTATAAGAACCACGTGTTCAGGTCATTCTTAGGCCAAAAGTGGCAAGTTATTGTTAATAACATCGTACTTGATCCACTTTCATAAAATAATATAATTGATTCGTTTTCATTACAGACATTACTCTTGATTCCCGATTGTAATGACAACCATTCTCATTGACTTGATTCCCATTTCAGATATCGATGGTTACCATCGGGACGTAGGGATAGAGCGGCGCTATATCAGATGCTTCTAGAAAAAGCTATGGGAGTCCAAAGACGATACCATTACGTAGCAAATTTGTGCCGCCAATAAATAGGTACGCGCCACATTCGATACTCGCGAGTACAGCTAGGTACCGTCTAGTGCATCTATGGGTTCGAGATGAGGCCTGAAATGAGATTGCTGCGAAATAAGCGGATGCCATAAGCATTCGGACAACCGGCATAAATTATATTGGAAAATTTCATTAATCACCTCCAATGATCTCTTTCTTTCCCGAAAGCAATGAGGAAATACGTCCTAGAAAGAAAGGAGCGCATTGCAAAAATCGTATATAATAATTTTTCCGAATTTTCCTTCATAATGTAATCTTACCCTCAAACCTGGAAGCGAATTCTCTCATTTTCTTGAGACGCTATCATCCCATAATATTAAATTGCATTGACAAAAACCTTTAAATTTTCTTTTATAACAATGATATGAAACGAGTTCTTTGACGTTCTCTATCACTCACGTAATTCTATCTACGATGCGGTAAAGATGGTCACGCTACCATCTGAGGAGATCCGGGTTCGAATTCCAGCTCTGGAATCTCAAAACTTCTTCATGAGTGGTTTATCTTGGAGATGTCCCTCACCACCCAGCTGCCTAATTGTGGCCTGGCCGAATCCGCATGGGTATGATTGAAAAAGCTGAACAAATGGCCCTAAATCGAAGAACTTCAAACAAGGGCTCACCAGTGGCCCTTGTTTGAAGTATAAAACCACTGAACACTAGTTGTTGGTCGTGGGTTCGCGAGTTTTTCGGGTTTTCTCACATTAGTAACACCTAAATAGGGGTCAGTTCCCCATAAAACCTCTATTTAGGTGAAGCATATCCTCTCGACAGATGGTCCACATGTCGCGTTGCCTTAACCAAATAAACCAATCAAACAGCAACAATTATTTAAAAAAACAATAAATAATAACAATAGAATTTACACGCAGTTTTGAAAGTTACAATACTTGATGATAACACTTTTACTATTTAATATTTATTGACGCTTTTACGAGAGTGACTGTAAATGGCGGCCTCTATATGAGGTTGGAAGTTTGATTACGGTATTAAAAATGAATAATAATATTGGAAATATTTCTAACANAAAAAATTATACTTCAGATGTTAATTTAGTATCAAAAACGTAAAATATTTGAGTAGCCCAAAACATAGCCAAAGATTGAAGCGCCACAGCACTAGCGAAAATTTAAATTTGCCGACTGGAATTCTTTCGGATGATTGACGTTTCGGATGATTGACTTTCGGAAAATCAACGCTCTACTGTACTTAATTTTAAATATTGTGAATAGGGAGAGGGCGGTTAGAAAAAAACATTGATTAAGAAAAGTCTTTAGAGGGCAGTTTTTAAAGGCAGTTTTGTAATATTTTTGATATACTTTAAAATTAACATTTAATTATTTGAATTTTATTTACATATCAATTCAATCGAATGTCATGACTATTTTGTGATTATTTACTTATTATTGCATAGTAAAAGTTAAAACGACACTTTTTTTTTCTTTAGCATTTTTTAAATTTAAATTTAATTGAAACAAAATATTTTCTCTGTTATATATAACAGAGGGAAAGTATGGCAATTGGTAAAAATATGACCCTTTCAAACTTAATAACCCCTGTACTTTTTGTCGAAAATTTCTGTAATTTTGCGGGGAGGTTTATATATTAAGGGGATCGATGCTGTTAAATTTTGGTGGTTAAAGGTCGAGGGGGTAAGGAGATAAAGGGATCGTTTGACATATGTCGATTAGGGTTGGGCTTAATACCAATTTTATTTGTTATTAGTATATACTATATAAAACACATACCTACCCTCATAACTAAGCTTTTTGCCATTTTATAATAATTAAAAATATGAAAAGGTTTTAATAATAAAACATCATAACAGATGGCGCGACACACGCAGTTTTAAACATTGCCGGAAAAGTTAAGCAACTCGTTGTTGGAATTTTTAAAATCCAAAATCAAATCGACAGTTCTAAAAACTCGAGGACTTTTTTGAGGGATAGTCTATCCCGGATATATTGGACCCCGTCCTTCAACTAGCCGCTCTATTGTTAGCCTGCCCAAACCCATGATGGGTATGATTAAAAAGGACCCGCTTAATTGCCCACTGGGCAGGTGAGATAAAAGAGGCACAAACACAGTAACCATCATCGTGGAAGCCAATTCTAAAGGGCCGGAATCCGTTTTAGTAAATAAATAAATATTGGTTTGGTTTGATTTATCTGCATAGGGCAACGCGATACGTGGGCCATCTGCCTTCCGGAATGACCTTTTATGATAAACTGGACCCTATTTAGGTGTTACTAACGTGAAGAAAACCCGGAAAAATCCACTCCTACCTGCAACCATCAGGCCAATGTATACTGATGGTTGCAGGTAGGAGCGAACCTGCAACCATCAGTATATATTGACCTAGTAGATCCACTGAATACTGGTTTGGTCGTGGGTTCGCGCATGTCCAACGGGCTGGCTACGTGGAGTATTTCGGGTTTTCTTCGCGTTTATAACACTTAAATATGAAGCCAATTTACCATAAAAAGTCCTCTCGGGAGGCATCTCCTCGTTTTCTAAATAGGAGCCACAAAGTCTTCCCGAGAGGAATTTGTGGTTCCTATTTAGAAAACCTGAAAACTCTACTTCGATGTTGGTGAGGTCCGAACCCGCGATCAACTACCAGTGATTTTATCCACTCGGCGGCCACTGGTGGGTTACATTAACTTTTATTGGATAAAAACCGTACAGAATCTCATTCTATTGTTTATTTTATATAAATAATTGTTTTAACCTTTTAATTAACTGTAGAATATAATTTCTCTAAATTAAATAATTAAATAACATAAAAGTTTATTTTAAAAAAATAAAGATTTTTAAAGAATTTTCAAGCCAGGAAAAAAAAAAATGTCCCAAAGAATTCCGGAGAAATTTTCACATTCAATTTCCTGTTGCAATTAAAATCCAGACAAACTAATTAAACGATGAAATAAAATCATTGATCTGTTCATTCCATAAATTTTAATGAAATTGTTAAATAGCATGGCTTTCGGCAATGTTGATAATCTTATTTTTACTTTAATCTATATTATTATTTTAAATGTTACTGATAGACATACGGACGAGCCGTTAAGGCATCATCCCACTGCTCTGCTCAACATGGAATCAAATCGGGGCGAGGAACCGAGGTACTTTTTGGATTGATGATTTTAAGACAAAGCAAGACATGGGCGATCTATCTAAAGAGGTGTCTCCCGGGAATATTTTCTATGGGAAACTGGCCCCTATTTACGTGAAGAAAATCTGGAAAACGCCACCTGGCCCACCCGTTGATGAGTCACGAACCCACGACTTGTGTTCGGCGATTTTATCCATTGTTTAACACCATCGAATTGCCATCGCTTCATCCCTCTTCAGAGATAAGAGAATGTTTCCTTATTCTTGTATAGTAGAAATAAGGAACTCTTCTCTCTCTATTCTAATTTCCTTATTCCTATTGAGTACAGAGAAGAGAAGGAAATTTGATTGATTAATTAATTCAAATTTTGTAATATTTTTAGTAGTGTATGTACACTATATGAAATGGCTCACCGGACACAGTTGTATCGATCACAGGATAACTTTTATTCATGGAATTTCTGCCGCAAAGGGTGATGCGTGCTTACAACGTTATTTCCATGCATAAAAATTGCAGTTTCTGATATAATAAATAATGATTTAGCTAAGAAATGGCATCGCAAAGATATAATCGTATTAATAATTCATAAAGAAATTTCTCTAGTCGATTCAAACAAATAGGAACCGATAATGTCAACTATCTATGGATTCGACCTAACAAAATAATTTCCACATTTCTTTAAAAAGATAAAGCATTTAATTTGAGGGGAAACACAAAATATACGGAGGAAGAACGAGTTTGTTCTTTCTGTATAACCTCCGTATAGCGGACACCATCAGAACCGAGAAGTTTGTCCGATTTTTAGAGGTAAGTATAATGAATGTCCTATTTGTAATGTTGCTATTTGTGAGGTCTGAGGATTGTAAAAATGTCCGCTATTCGGGGGTGTCCGTTAAAGGAGATTTTACTGTACATGAAAAATCTGGTATTATATACATTTTGTTTTATCTAAATGATATTTATTGTTATTGTTGCTATGGCATCCTCTTCCCAGAGAGTTAAAGCTGAGGAACCATTTCTCTCCATCTCATCTCATGGACATTTCTCAGATTCACTCCTTGATGTTATTCCTCCATCTCTAGGCCCTTTTCCTTCTACCACTCCCTCTATCACAGTCTTCATTAATTGTCCCGAAGATCCACTGGCCAAATGTCCAGCAAATGCAGCAAATTTTCTTTGCTTAATGGTTATTACTTGTTTTCCGACATTATATCTCTTAAGTACTTCTTTATATGCATTTATAAAGTATGCTTTTCACTCTATTTTTCATCATTTATAAATCTTCTGTATTTAAATTCATTGGCGAGTTATCCTATGGGCAAAAAAGGACAATTGTCTGGGACTGTTTAAATTCTATTTTCAGCTTTCTATTTCGTAATTTACACTTTAAACTCGTTTTAATTAGCATTTTATTACCGAATTGAGCCATTATTGCCGGAATAAAACTTGAATAATGCATAACTCGTGTTGTATTAATATATAATTGGAAATTTGTTCATTCATTTAGTAAAATAGTCACAAAATTCCGATATTTATTTTATAAAAATCTGCCAAAATATCAAACCACACCTCGAAAGGTCGCCATGTATGACGATTAAGACATTGCTTGACCTGTTTATCGCTTCGTTGATGGGTGTATTCACTTTGTACAAAAATAGTATTATTAATAAACCAAATTAAAACATATCGATGAATCATTGAGAAATTTTATCTTTTCCCTCCCTCCTCTTCCTCCTCCAGAAGCAGTATGATTCATAGAAACGCCTGTAAATCGATAATTATACCATTAACTACTTAATACAAGATAGCTTTTAAAGTATATTACGTTAAAACCTGTTCAAAACGGAAAATATATTGGGTACCCTGCCGTTCCGGTTTACGCAGTTTTTACTGTATATTTTCCTTATATTATATTATACAAAAAATCAATTATGTAATAAAATCTTAGTCTATAATTCCCCTAAAAACTGCGCAATTTATAAATTAAAAAAATAAATTAAGTTTCGCGGCTATATAAAAATTTTCCAGCGTGATCGCTTAAGTAAAAGCTCTAATCTTATTATAGAAAGTTGGCAAAATTCCACCTGCTAAATAACAAAATAGACCTCCCCTCATATTTTTAGAAGAAAATAAAATTAAAGAGTCATTCCTACATTTTCTTGGCTGAATTTTATATGTATACAGTATACAGGCTTATACGTAATCCTTTATACAGTAAAACCTGTGTAAACCGGAATTACACGGTACAGAATATATTTCTTCCGTATTAGCAGGTGTCCGTTTTGAACAGGTTTTTTAAAGATAGAAAATCGCTAATTTCTTCCGTTTTGGACAGGTTTTCTACTGTACCCCTATAACACTCTTGATAATTCCGTGTTATATCAATTCCATGTTGTACGAGTCACTTAGATTTTACAAATACATGAGCCGTTTACAGCCCGGTACATGTATTTGTAAAATCTAAGTGACTCGTACAACGTGGAATTCATATAACACGGAATTATCAATAGTGTTATAGGTGGTCTACTGTATGTGTTTATATGTAAAACTCAGCCGAATATACAGGATAATATAAGGATTATTCATAATAAATATTCATTTAAACGAAAGTACAAATATTTTTCACAGTAGTATAAATATTATTGCGCTTCGTTGAGGACATTCTCTGTACTTATATGCTGTACTGTAGTACATTCTCAGATCGAATTTCGGTGTCACATAACGACAAAATAATGTTTCTGTGACAGAGCTTACACAACATAAAGCATGAGAAGAGATAATTTATTACTTCTCACGTTTGTAATTCGTTATATTTCTTCATATTTGTCTTCCCTCTTGGCACAGATTCTTTTTAATACGATTATTCTTATTAATCAGAATTAAAAATCTGCTAATTAATAAATCA